TGGATAAAGACTTTGCTCAAAATCCCACATCCCATCAATAGCAGATCCAGGACCAGAATTTGGGACTCCTTTTTAGGTCAAAGTTCTTTCTCTTATATTACTTTACACATTATAATTGTTTTTATCTCTAATACTGATTTTCTTGGAGGAAGAGATCATGTCTTTCACTTCTTTGTAAAAGAATTGAGATAATTCACTGAGAAATCTAAGAGGCATGTCAATAAGTAATCCTTTGTTTCAAGAGTGCAACTGGGAAATGAAATTCTGATGAAGTAGTATCTATGGGGATTTCAGTATTAATATCTGGATGGTGAAGAATGTCATGATTTACTGGTGACATATTATCAGTATAAGAAATGGAAGGTATACATGTCAAAATGTGTTTGTTTGTTTTCTCTCTTCCTAATAACAATTCATCTTAATTCTATGTAAAAATAGCCATGGAGAAGAAAAAGAGGATCTGGATCTTTATCCAGTAACTGGAGCAGGGGATTAACCCTAGCTATTCATGTGGTAATACATGCTCCTACAAAATTATCTCACTGTAACTTATTTATAAATCCTTAAAGCTATGAGCATGTAGTCTGTGTTGAATAAGGACGTACAAACTGATTGCAATTAGTGTATAAACAAATATTTTCACAACAGAGCTTTCTATCTTTCTTCGGTAACCCTGTGACAAGTACTTTGTAGGTAATCCTTAAGGAACAAAAACACGACCTTTGAAGTGGGACCACGAATCTCTAGATTTCAATGCACAACCTCATCTGAGGTCAAACTGAGAATATTATAAATTGATGATTGACCTCCATAAATATAATGTCTTCTATATTCTCCGATCCATACCTCAAAGTTGCCCAGTGGGCCGAAAAAGAAAAAGGGGAATTCAGAAAACTCTCCTTTAACATACAGGATTTTACGAGTCAAATTGTGGGGAAAATCTGACTCCGTGTGGACTTCCATTGTACATGTCACTCTTCTTCCGTAGGCTCAGCTCAAATGGCGTCAGGAGTTCCAGGAGCCGAAATAGCGTGGGGGCATGGATCCGATATTGACTCATACTGAGTGGAAGAAATCAGCACCAAAGTCTGGATGAGATCATTTGGTTGTGAGTGCTAGGGAAGTGACTGCTAATCACAGAGGAAAAGGGCAACCAATGTGTAAGTTTTATCTTACTACCTATTCAGTTCAGATAGGTAGCAGGAGATACACTTGAAATCTTGCTGATGGCTAAAGCATAACCATAGCCAGTTTTCAGAAAGAAAGTGTAGCTGAAAAGAAAAAAGAAAGTTTTCAGCCCCCCCCCATTTTTAGTAATATTATTACACCTTGGCTCCTAGTGGCTTTGTAAAACTTTTAAAGGATATCTTGGTGGTGAATTATTCGGCAGTATCATTATGGGTAGAACCAGCAAAGTGTGAAACCTCTAGTTTGCATGTGTAACAGGAGGTGTTTTACAGGCAGAAAAGAGAGAGAAATTTCTTTGTTTGTAAGTTGACAAGACAGGAAAAGATCACAAGGATATACCATTGTACTGACAACATTCTGAACTAAAGAGTTGTATGTTCAAAAATGAAAACCTGACAGCAGATCTAGCCTGGGATGCAAGATTAGCTACATAATTTGCAGGAACCAGTGCAACTGTGGGCTCTGTTAAAAAAATGATTAGGAATTCTAAGATGGTGACAATAGAGCATTAAATCAAATATGTTTGTTTCCAAGTTCAGGGTCCTGACAGACTGTATAGTTTGCATGCCCAGGATGTTGTCTGCTGGGATGGTGACCTAAGAATTTCAAAACTTTATTCTCAGTCTTACTATTTTTTCAAAGAACTGAAGTGTGTCTACTGTCTCACAAATTCTGAGGGGAGAAATCCTAGGAAAAAAGCTTAAATTTAATTATTTGAACTCAGGTATCTAGCATAACTAGAGGCACATTCAATAACTTATTGGATATGAATTTAAACACATCACTTTGTTTCTCTGGGTCTTGATTTATAGATCTAAAACGTGTACAGATAGACAGTCTCAGTAATTTCTTAATTTCGTGCTTAGTATTACCACCAAGAATCATTAGAATTTGATTTTAGCCATGTAGTAACCATCTCTAAGCATTTGGTCATATCATAAACATATTCTCAATATGTATTTATAATTTTGAATAGGCACTCTCAATTTACAAATGCTAGGGCTGCATATAATTCTCTATTATAGATCCCACTATTCTTTACTCCTCTCTCCCAACACTATATTATTGTGGATGAATCAAGAAATAGATAGAATTATTTATTATCCCTTTCAGAAAGTTTGGAATATTCTTTCCATAACTCAGCATTTTCTGATTGATTACCTGGAAGGTACTGAGTGCCTACAGTGTTTGTCAAGGCTTTGACTCGCATCACTGTGTTGCCTTAAAAACACATTCTCTGGATCATAATTTTTCTTGCAGAGGACAAGTAAAGAGCTTTGTTTTTGCAGCAGTGCAATTCTATACTCTTCACATGATTAACATGAAGCTTTCATCTCATAGATAAGTTTTGATTTTGTTTATTCTTTGGAAATACAGATCCTCAAAGAACTTTCTAGCTTTTTAGAAATATTTTCTTTTAGATGTTGATGGACCTTTATTTTATCCATTTATTTATATGTGGTGCTGAGGATTGAACCCAGTGCCTCACACATATTAGGCAAGTGCTCTAACACTGAGCCACAACCTAGCCCCTGTTTGGGCTTTTTTAGAAACACAAAATAATACATGGAAAAGTCCCAGTCAGAAGGGACATACATATAGCATCATGTTTCTAACATTAATAAATCACACAGCAAAGAAAGCAGTTAAGAATGTGAAAAGAATCTATAGAATAGGTGAAAATCTTTGCTAGTTACTCTTCTGACAGAGAATTAATATCCAGAAAATGTAATGAACTCAAAAGACTTAACACCAATAAAACAAATAACCCAATCCATAATGGGCAAATGAACTAAACACATTTCTCAAAAGAAGAAATACAAATGGCCAACAAATATATGAAAAAGTATTCAACATCTTTAGCAATTAAGGAAATGTAAATCTAAAGTACACTGAGATTTCATCTCACTCCAGTTAGAATGGCAGCTATGGAGAATACAAGTAATAATAAATGCTGGAAAGGATGGGGGAAACAGGAACACTGTTAGTGGGACTGTAAATTAGTAAACCACTATGGAAATCAGTATGGAGTTTCCTCAAAAGACTAGGAATGGAACCACCATATGGCTCAGCGATATCACTTCTCTATCCTAAAGAATTAAAGACATTTTCATGTCTCTAGCACTCAAATTATGGAACCAGCCTAGGTGTCTATCAGTGGGTGAATGGATAAAAAAATGTGGTATATACACACAATTGAGTTTTATTCAGCCATAAAGAAGAAAGAAATTATGCCATCTTCAGGAAAATGGATAGACTTTGAGAGCATTATGTTAAGTAAAATGGCCAACATTTGAAAGTCAAGGGTTATATGTTTCCTCTCATATGTGGAAGCTAGAGAGAAAAAAGGAAAAGAAAGGTGAAGAGGGATCTCATGAAAATGGAAGGGAGACCAGTAGAATAGAGAAAAGGAGAGGGAGAGGGAAAATACTGGGGAATGATATTAACCAAATTATATTGTTATAGCATGTACATGTATAAATATATCACAATGAATCCCACTATTATGTATAATTATAATGTGTCAATAAAAATATGGGAAAAAGTAAACTAAAAAACTTATTATTTAATTAAGAAGTAGTTTGGCTTAGGCCTGATTGCACTGGGGTATAATTTGAGGGTATGTAATGAAAAATAAATCCTTAAGCAAACATTCAAATATATACTTATTCGGTGCTTCCTATGAGCAAATTTCCATGCTGAAATGTTTTAGGGAAAAATGTATGCCATAGAAGCAATGGAACTCTTTCTGATTTTAAGGAACTCAGTTGAACATGGAAAAGATATATGAATAACTAACTTTCCTGAGATTGAGGGATCAGACCTAAAAAAAAAAGTATAAACCAAATGCTAAACCAGTATGGAGAATGTGAGATTAATTTAAAGAAGATAAATTTGAGAGAACTCATGAAGATGATATTTAGGATGGGACTGGATGGTTTGGTGCCAGCCTGAGGGGCACAAATGAAGGGAAAGGGAATTTTAGGCCAAAGATATTGTATGAGTAAAGTTCAAAGTATGATTTTTCTTTTTAGGAATGGCTAGTCACTCCACATGACTGAATTATACTAGTTAACTTTAGTTGAGTGATTACACAGGGAAAATTCTTCCCACTTTATATGTATTAATCCCATCTAATTTTCAACTAAAGTCAAGAGGGAGACACTATTATTAAGTCGATCGTGTACGTAAGGAAACTGAGTCATAGAAAAGTTAAGGGATTTACTCAGGATCCCAGAGCTATATAGTAGTGGAGCCAGGATTGAAGTCTGCACCCATAACCACCCTACTTTACTGTATACAGTACAGGGAAAGTTGCATTATAACCAAAGAGTGGAGGGACTTCTGGGCCATCTTGAAGTGTTATAATTTCTAATAACTACCAAGGGATGAGAAGGAATTTCTATTTTTTTTAATTTTGAAAGGCAAAAGATAGTTAAAAACTTTCTCTATTATTAATGAACAATTAATTGATTGATTATCTTGAGCTACACTATTCAACAGAGTATCCCATAGCTACATGTAACTATTGAGCTTTCAAAATATTGCTAGTGCAAATTGAGGTGTGTTGTGTGTACTAGATTTTTAGAATTTCATATGACAAAAGTATGTGAGATATCTTATTTTTTAAAATTATTTTTAGTTGTAGATGGACACAATATCTTTATTTATTTTTTTATGTGGTGCTGAGGATTGAATCCAGAGCCTCACTAATAAATAAATAAATACGTAAATGGGGCTACTAGATAATTTAAATTTACCTGTATAACTTATATTGTATTTCTAGTGGGCAGTGTTGACCTAGAGCAATTTGAAACTTGTGGTGGATATTTTACTAACCAATTCTGATGAAGGACTTCCTCACACATTGGTTTTTTTTAACCATATTCTTTCCTTGCTTTTTGGTCATTTGCAAGAAAAATTTTAAAAGGCTTCCCCTTTGTAAAGTTTGAGAGGCCCTAGAATTTCCTTTTTCACTTGTTCCCAACCACAAGCAAATGATCAATGTGCCCTGTGGATGAGGAGTCAACATTTTACAAGGGTAAAAAGGGGGGAATAAAAAAAAAAGGGCAAAAATAATTTCCAGTCCCTGAATGGTGTGAAGTAAGAGTGCCACTTTTCAAAGGATCCCACAAGAATGGCACAGGTGGGCACAATGGGTCTGTCTCATCGTCAAAGGACCCAAGAAGTTGAAAGGAAACTCTAACTACAACACCAAAATGCCACAAACCATAGTTATTAATACAAACGAATAAGCATCCCTGCCTATCTGTCACCATCTCATCTTAAAAACTTGTGAAAATACGTAATCCTGATGAGACTTCAATTAGGTATAAATACCAGCAGTGAAAGGAGATGCAGTATATTGTTCTGATCATCTCAGATCAGCTATTAGGAAAGGAAGATCAGCCAAGTCCTTTGGACCTGATCAGATTAATACAGGAGCTACTGATTTCAACGTCTTTGGCCTAACTCTCTCTAAAATGATGAAATACATAAGTTATTTCTTGGCTTTTCAGCTCTGCATCATTTTGGGTTCTTCTAGCTATTACTCCCAGGACATAGTTAATAAAGAAATAGAAGCGTTAAAAGAATATTTTGTAAGTATGACCTTTTAATAATACTTGTTTGTGGTTAAAAATGACTGAATGTTTGACTTGTACTAGTGTCTGATAGACTGTGATCTCTAGTTCATAATCATTTTGAGAAGATGTGGTACTTTGTTAATTGTTGGAGGATGTTTCTTGACTAAATAATTTAGATTTTGCTTTAACCCTCTGCTCAATTTGCTATAGAGACTTAGAGGGGATACATGAACATGAGTCTTCCAAAAGATAGGTATAATATGGGTACTAAGCATAACTATATTGATAATTTTATGGTGAGAATATTCTCAAGGTTTTTTGATTTTGTTTTGTGCTGGGATTGAACCCAGGGCCTCGTGCGTGCTAGGCAAGTGCTCTACCACAGAGCTACGTCCCAGTCCCACTAAGTTGTAATAAATCAAGCAATGTCCGTTTCAAAAAATGATTGGCTATTAGTTTCTGATTTCTCAAACTATTATGAGGATGACAGTAAAAGGTCAAAGTTAGTATTAAAAGTAATAATAGAAAGCTATTAGTTAAAATTAAAGAAGGTGAAGTTCTTAAAAATTTGGCTTAAAAATGTCACTTATAGAGGTTTTCTTTTTCCAAAAAGTGATTTCTGAATTCTGTCGCTCCACTTAAGTTATGAATTATTCCTTCAGTCAGTAACTAACTGAGACTTTGTTGAAGTTACTATTCTGGCTTAGGAATTTTTAAATTTTTTGGTTTATGAACATTTACATTTTTATTTATGATTAGTAAAAATGTTTTTTTGGCATTTTAAATAATTTACTATTTCCCCCCAAATTAGCTATTGTAATTATTGTTATTATAATTCTCAAACATTCACAAATGATTTTATTCTTCCAATGTAAATAAAATCTCTCTGTCTCTCACACACACATATATTCACAGAGGTTTTAAAGCTGACATAATAAAACTGTATAGGAGGGCACAGGTAGATGTTATAGAAAACTATACCAGAGGGGGGCAGTATACTATAGTGTGACAACTGCAGATTTCTATTTATTTTTTTTCAACTAGGCTTGAAAATGCTTTTAGGACAATATATGGACTAATTATCAATCAATTTTCCTCTCTTTTCTCAGAATGCAAGTAATTCAAATGTATCAGATGGCGGGTCTCTTTTCTTGGATATTTTGGATAGATGGGAAGAGGTAAACTGAACATTACCATTTGGATGATTTTTCAATTATTTATTTTCTGATGGATTAAACTAACATCATCCTATCTTTGTGCTCTTTTCTCCCAAGGAGAGTGACAAAAAAGTAATCCAGAGCCAAATTGTCTCTTTCTACTTCAAACTCTTTGAACACTTAACAGACAACAAGATCATCCAAGGGAGCATAAACACCATCAGGGAGGATCTTTCGGCTAAGTTCTTCAACAGCAATTGCATTAAACGGGAGGACTTCCTAAAGGTGTCTCAATTTCAGGTGAGATGATTTCAATTCTTTATTTCATTGCAGGGGCTTTTGCAGAGTATTTAATTCTCAGAAAGTAGAAATTAGCTACTTAACAGTTGGCTATATCTATGATTTAAACCTCTGGCTGAAACTCCTCCTTACTAATTCAACGCATCCTTTGGGTAACTGTAAAATCAGTATGGGAATCATTTAAATGTGTCATTTGGAGAAACACAGGCAATAAAACTTGCACAAGGACAGGTGAACAGATAAATCCAGAGAGCCGGAAGTAGGTGAAGACACAGAGAGGAGCATGGAGAAGCAGGTCTCTCTTTGCATGTTGTTTATGCGATGGAAATTCTCTTACTTTGGATGGGAGGCTGTTTGTCTTAGTGGAAAGACACGTGGGAGGGAGTGAGAAGATATCTGTTCTCCTTCCAACTTGGCCACCAAGAAACTGTGACCTCAGATGAATCACATGCCTGGCCGGTGCTCCATTTCCCCATATTGAGAGGAACTTGCTAGGTTCACTACAATTGTAGCTCTATGGTTTCCTTTGCTCTACAATTCTACAATGTTGTGGGTAGAAAATGAGAATGAGAGAGGAGAGAGATATAGCTTTTGAGGAGTCACCATGTGACTGCAGTCTCTGCAGTCTCTGGTCAACATCTCAAGATTATGCAGCCTAACTAGAAGTGAGACTATTTGCTGCTTGTTTTTAGTGGGGGAAAAGGGATAGAGTTTACACCTTCTGAAAGGATTGTTTGATTAACTTTCATATACTAAAATATCTCAGCTGGTGAAATTCTTAGGCTCTGAAGTGTTATCTATGAGGTTGTCTTGGATCTTTAAATTATGGTAATTTTAAAGCAAAAAGACAACTTTAAAGCATAAAGACAATCATGTTTCCCCAAATTTTATCTAGAAGACAAAGGGGTCAGGATCCTTTGGCTTTGGCTTTAATATCAATGGTCTTGAGTGAGAGGGACTGAAGTCTTACTATGAGTTCTGCTCTTAGGATTTGTGCCCAGTTTTCACTGTGCTTCGGTGTGCCTCTCACTCAATTCATGTAGCTCCCAGTAACCGGAAGGAGAGATGGAACCAATTTTCTTTGGGCCATAGACTAGAGATTGAGGAAGCACTTGTTCCTAACCCAGTGCCATCCTGGTTTGTTTAATCTTGAATCTAAGTCTCTTAGATTCTTGGTGATAGTTTGAAAGCCGAAAACTTTTGAATTTTTATTTTTTGCCACTATAATGCACAGGTGGTAGAATTTTTTTTTCTACTCTTGTAACTGGTCCTTGAGAAAGTGAGAAAAATGTCTGGGTTTCATCTTTCTAGACTCTTCAAACCTCCTGATTCATGATGGGCAATACTGAGTGAAATCTTAACCTCTGTCCTCTTGCTCAATTGCGAACATATTTTAGGCATGTTATGTCCTTTAATAATTATTCCGGAGTCTAGAAACCCCCTAGTCACTCTTGGGAATAGTGTTTCTAGCATTAGAAAGAGAGCGACAGAGAAAAGATGAAAATAAATGGTCCTCATTTTATTAATTATAAAATCATCCACATGGCTCTATTAGTTAGATTGAAGAAAATCAAATAGTGCAATCTGCTGGCGTAGAAGTCAGGGTATAGCAAAAGTTGTTGCAAGTCCTAATTTCAAATGTTCTATATCAGCAAGTCATTTATTTTCATATGAGCATGAGTGGTGTTTATTTCAACTTATTCTAAATTTAAAATTATAGTTTTCATCTGTTTTGAACTTGGTGTTTTACAAAGGACTTAACCTATATCAGTGGCTCTCACTCTGTGGTTGGTTTCAGAATAACCTGGGGAATCAGTGACTACACAAGAGCAAGTCTCTGAGCCCAGTCTCTGAGTTCTTTATTAGGTCTCCAGGTCAGTCTGCTATACACCCGGGGTGAGAGGCTGTGTCTTATAGGAACTCATCTGATATGTACAGCAAAGACTGATCAAAGTGTGAGGTGACAGAATTGGTAGACTAAAGGTCAGCTCAACAATCTCTTCTGGTTAGATGAGGAAACAGAGGTTTAAAGAGGTTAAGAAACTGGCTCAAAATTAGAGATACTACAGATGCAGGATTTAATACCTCCTTTTCTTTTTAAGACTACCCCAGGTCTCTTTTCACTAAATAATTTTGAGAATTCTATAGCAGTAAAGTTAGAGATATATGATGTAACCCATAATAATTTTGAACAACTATCAATTCAGTTTTCTTTTAGCCTTAATGGTGGAAGAAGTTAATAATATAGATTAAGATATTATATTGTTATTCAGAATCACCTTTTTAAAGATGAATAATTTCATTTTCACTATGATGTTAAAAGGAGATGGCTTGTATGCCTGAAATTAATTTTGCTGTTTTCTTTCCCATTAGGTAAATGACCTGAAGATCCAGCGTAAAGCAGTGAGAGAACTCAAGAAAGTGATGAATGATCTGTTACCACACTCTACCCTAAGGAAGAGAAGAAGGAGTCAGTCTTCCCTTCGGAGTCGGAGAGCAAATTACAGTCCTCATGACTGTAATATTTGAATTTTTAAATTGAAATCTATTTATTAATATTTAACATTATTTATATGGAAATATATTTTTAGATTCATCAAAGAAGTATTTATAGTAGCAATTTATGTAATGAAAGAATATGTATTATTAATTATATGTATTATTTATAATTCCTGTATCCTGTAACTGTCTCACTTTACCCTTTTTTTTTTTTTAATTAGGCAAGAATATGTGATTAAAAGACTTTATCTCAGGGACCAACTAAACAGCTGACCTAAGTTAGACCCTGTGGGTTGTGCATTTATTTAGACAAAGAACACTTATAAACGAAACAGTACCATCTAGTTGTTGCCTATTTGAGAACATGTCTGCATTCTGAGCCACTGCTTTAATGGCACATCAGACAGCACTTGAATGTGTCAGGTGATATGACCTGTGCCCTGATAAACTCAGCACCTCACTGGAGATTTCACACTTGGTGCTTCTGAATATTGTTGACAACTGTGACTGCACCCAAATGGAAAGTAATTCACTTGTTCAGTTTATCTGTATCTAATATATCTGAATAAAGCATAACTTCACAACTATTCATGCTGTATCAGACTTTTTCTAAATGAGGACTGGGGTGATTGAACTGCATACTAGTTAACTAGAAGGGAGAAAGTCCTTTTTAGCTGTGGAAATCTTAGAGTACCATTGGGCCCCATCAAATGTGGTATTTCTCTCCATTGAAAACTCGGCTGATTTTCATTGTTCCACCTGTTTGAATGATCTTCGAAAGATTTAGGTTTAAGTTTGTCACCATTCAATTTAGTTTCTGCTATGGAAATAATCTGCTCAGTTTGGTACACAGAGATTTATTCTACCCTATCTTCCACCTCCTCCCCTTTTCCTCATGTTGGTTTCCCCTCCCCCATCTACCATAGGCAAATACTGTTGGGTGTGGAACAGTGAGTGTTAGTTCTAGGGAGAGAGGTCTAGATTAGAATTTGGGTTATGTCATTGCAAGTAGCATGACCTTTCATGAATTGTGTATATTCTCTAAACTTTGGCTTCTGAAAAAGAGAAATAATTGTGTCTTCTTCCTAATATCGTAGCTGAGAGTTCATTCTATCACTACAAAGTATTTACTGGGGCACACCCTATGTGCCTAGGTGCTTTACAAACCTTAGTCAACAAAACTAGACAATAATCTTTGCTCTTGTGGAATTTGGGATTGAGCAAAAGGGAGATGGACAATACATACTATGTAAGTAAATTACATAGTATATTAGAAAATGATTGGTGCCATGGGATAAAAATACAAATAGAACAGGATGGGGAATTGGGAATAATGTAAGTTGGGTGGGTGAGTGGTCAAGAGGCTTGAATAGACTGATTATAGTTGATCTCATGAAGAGAAAACATTTGAGGAAGCATCTTTAAGAGAGCATCCCACTTGCATTCCAGGCAAGAGGAATATTCTTGCAAAGACTATGAAGTAGAAAATTATCTGGTGGTCAAAGAAAAACCAGCAGACCAATGTGGTGGTCCCAAAACATGGAAGAGAAAATTAGCCATCACTCAAGGAAGATGCAGGGAAAGGAAGCAGTGTCCTTAGTGGACAGCCTCTATTACTTGTGTAGGAGGAAGTTGCAGATATGATGAATTTGCTTAGTTTTCAACTATGAATTTCAGATGACCCAGTAAGTTGATGTATAATAGGTCATAAAAGGAAATGTACATGGGAGTGTGTTGTGAGTTTGGACTTCTGACGAAAACTGACATAAACACGGAAAATAGATATAATGAAATGATTTTTGGTGGCGTTGGGACATAGTGGTGACAAGATTGAGAAAAGTTAGGTATGTGGAGCTTCCTTCTCAACAATTTCACTTAACCCTCCCACAATAGTGGGATTAAGTGAAATCGTTCATGTGAAGCAATAATTTTAGTCTTTGACAATAATCAGTGTTATATTGATTACTGGATAACTAACTGTTCATGAGAGTGGATTCCAAAGCTTTTAAGTATTTGAAGAGGCAAGATAAAAAACTTTAGGTTAATTTTGGCATAACTTTAATTGACATGAGATGATGCTGGGGTCTCTCCTCTTCCTAGTGTAAGATTGATTGATGCAGACTTTAAGTTACCTATAGATGGAGGGCTGCTGTGAGACTGTCTCGTCTGGACTATAGAACCAATCATACCTCTGGGGAAGGGAATTAGAAATTCTTGCTCTCAATCATTTTGGGAAGAAATTAATGATGCAGTAGAAAATGGAATACCAGAAGTCGTTAATTTAGGGCTAGGTAAAATTTCTCCTTCTTCCTGCAGTTGGTATCAGTTTGACGCAGACTCTGAGACAAGAAGAGATATACATTGTTTTCTGTGGTGTCAATGGTCACAGAGATTAAGACAGGGAGCAGTTTCTTTAGGAGAACTTGAATTGAGACTGGCCTATGAAAGAGTTACAAAATATCCTCTATATTATATGCTGCGTTTTAAATGTACACACCTAGTCTCAGAAGTGTTGTGGGTGTTTACAGGAAGAATAGACTGTGATTTAAACTAAGATTTAGACAGGAAGAATAGACTGTGATTTAGACTATGATTTAGATTTTGACACCAATTATTGTCAAGGACTAAAATTTAGACTAAGGAATCTTGGGCATGGCAATGGTTCTTCTCCCAGTGCCAGCAGAGGCAAGTCTTTCCTTAGTCTCAAGAACATTAGAGGCAGCAGCTAAGGCCTGGATTAGGAAAACTGTACTGTTTAAAGTCCCATCCTAATGACTTTCATAAATAGCAGACATGCCCTTGCTAGCGGGGTGGTTTTTGGTGATTAGATGACTGAAATTTGAGTATTAAATATCAACGGATTTCCCTCTTTTTTTCTTCCTCGTTTTTTCACTTTTCCTTTCCCATAACTTCCCATTCTGAATAATATAATTCAGATTAAATTAGGTGTATCAGAGTAAGGTAGGCATCTACAGTTGAGCAGTGTTAGGAGTCAAATTCTGAGCGCAGTATGAAAGATGGACATGCAGGGCAAAACCTAGTGTGGAAGCTGTTAGAGCCTGAGCAAAGGAGAGTGTTCAAGAAGGGCTGGGAGAGCATATTAGTTTTCCACTGTGTTTGTAGTAAGTGACCACAACTTAGTTGCTTTAAAACAACTTACATTTGTTATCTGATAGTTTTGGAGGTCAAAAGTCCAAAACCAGACTCAGTGGGTTAAAATCAAGACACTGTACATTCTTTCTGGGGCTCTGGGGAGAATCTGTCTCCTCGCCTTTTCCAGTGTCTGGAGGCCAGGCCCATTCCTGCTCTTTCTTCAAAGCCAGCAGTGTAGCACCTTCCAATCTCTCTTCCTCTCTTTCTCTCTGGCTCTGATATTCCTGCTTCCCTCTTATAAGGACCCTTGTAATTATATTGAGACCACTTGAATAATTTAGGATAATATCTATCTCCATTTCAAGGTTTTTAACTAAAGTACACCTGAAAAGTTCCCTTTTCCACATAAAGATATATTCACAGATTCTGAAAATTAGGATGTAGATATCTTTAGCTAGTCATTACTCTATTTATCATAAAGAGGCAACCTGACAAGAGTAGTCAGAACTTCAGCCAAATGAGGTTGCCACACTGAAGAACAGCCTGGAGTGGGTGTTATGATGGAGATATGCCAAAAGATGTTCCTATTGGCTAAACATTGAAAAATGTATGCATCAGAGTAAATGATGATAGAAACATTATTATAACCTGTTGAATATGAAAGGAAACCCAAAGTATATAATAAACTAAAAATTGGATGAAGAATGGGATATTTACATAGCTTTGCTTTCTCACTATACTTACTAATCACAAATTGGAAAAGAGTAACTTTATAGTGGAGAAGCCTTGCAGACAACATCATCTTAATCAATGGGTAAAAGTGAACACTGTTAGTAATGGGGTAAATGAAAATGATGTGCTCCTTGGTAGGATGCCATGACATGAACATAACTCACCCTCTGTGACATCCCTGTGAAAGATGTAGAAACTTTTAATTGTGAGAAAACATGAGGAACACACTACAAAGTGGTCTGTAGCTTTCAGAGTATCAACATCATGCAAGTTAAGGAAAGAATGAGGAATGAGGAACAGCTGTTAAGGAAGTGGATTATAGACATAGAACAATTACATGCAATATAAGTTACTGAAGTTCATCCTTTTGCAATTAGAGGCATTTTTAGAACACTTGGTTCACTTAAATATGTCTGAAGATGATATAGGAGTAAAATATCAATGTAAACATCTTGATTTGGACTATGTGGGTCCAAATGGCTATGTGGGAGATAGCCCTGCAGGTAGTAAATGCTCACGGGCACATTCAGTGTGATGTGGCATCAAGGCAGCACTTTCTCTGAGGTAGCTGAGGAGACATAAAGATTTTCCAACTCTCCTGTAAATCTGTGATTGTTTCAAAATAAAAATATGCAGAAGTCACCATGAAATTATTTCATAGTTGCAGGCTGCTAAGGTCTAAAATTCTTGAGATTCTTTATTTTCATTGCAATCACAACAGTTAATTTAGAATTTCCCAATAGGGTAGGTTAAATTTTCTAAAGTGACCACACATATTTATTCACCTTATTCCTATGCTTTCTGTACAATATAACTGACACTTGACAGGTAGGGGATATCCTTCTCTCTCTTTTTTTTTTTTATAAGGGAAGTACTCATGGATTTTTTTAAGAGAGAGGAGAGAGAGAGAGAGAGAGAGAGAGAGAGAGAGAGAGAGAGAGAGAGAGAGAGGATGTTTGATATTTATTTTTCAGTTTTTGGCGGACACAACATCTTTGTATGTGGTGCTGAGAATCGAACCCGGGCCTCACGCATGCCAGGCGAGCACGCTACCACTTGAGCCACATCCCCAGCCCCTAATACAAATTCCTTCTCTTTAATAGTAGAGTGGAGTGGTTGAAAGTGAAACTGTTCAACTTCTAAGTCAACAATGCAGCTTCTGCCTGGTTTTCTTTTACTCCCCCCACCCGCCATTATTGTACTTCTGATTCTATCATTATATTGGGAGGTTCACACTGTATGGGGAAGCCACATGTGGACAGTCTAGCCAACAGTCTCAGGGAGGCTTCCAGCCAACCCAGCCTCAATCATCATATTGATATGCATGAATTCCCCTTCAGATAATTCTGGCTCCAAGCAATTTTCTACCTATTGCCTCAGTCACCCAAGTTTCTTATGATTAAAAAAAAAGTCAGACTAATTTCAGCTCTAATATATTCAGTATAGAAGTTGTTACTTCAATATATTCTTAAAACAAGAATAGATTGGAAAAAATGAAAAACAATGATGTTTCTTAGTTCTTAGTTCAGAGAACGGACTTTGTAACCAAGATCTGTCCACTTGGGCCAGAAACCAAGGGAATCACTAACAGATGAGAATACTAAAATGTTAATTTTGATGAATTCCTGGAGGCTTAGTGTGGAGTAGCTTTGGAGTGAGAAACTCTTAGGGCTGACATATCAGCAGTCCCCACCCTATCATGGGCTTTATCAACAAAAGCCTCACCAGGTCCTAATAGTAAAGATCTGAGACAGAATTCTCT